TCGTCAACCTCCAATAATACGATGCCAGACCTTAGATTAATCCAGTACAGCATAAGCCATTACGCGAGCCGGAAAAACACGACTATTCAAAACTTCCTCCGCACCATGGGTCATCTAACAACGATATCCCCAAAGTGCTCGAGGACATGCCCGCAGCAAGCATCCACAATCAGCAAGAGCAGTTCGCCGATCTGCACAATAGGGTTCAAATTTTGAACAATTACATGTTGGATATGCTTGATTTGATGGATGAATTTGAGCATAAGATGAAACAAAGATTCACGGAAGTCATGGCACGAGTGGGGTCCATTGATGATCGAGGTGCGGCAACGATACGCGATTTGGAGAAGGTGGAGCGCAACAGTATGCAGATTCTACGCGATCTTGAAAGCAAGGATTTCAAGGATGTGCTCAATTCCGTTCATACCGCGATCGAGAACAGCCACGATGGTCTGAGAAGATCTTTGCCATTGCATTTAGGCGCTGGTATGTTATCACCTTTACTCGCGCAAAATTGATGGATGCTAACATGTCATGCAGCTGTCGAAGCACAACGCCCGAATATGATAAAGTTCTTATTTATGGCGGTCGCGGTACAGATCATGGTCACTGGCGCATACATGTTGTACAAAAAGAGAAGGGCTGCAGCGCCAAAGAAGTATCTATAGAGGAGCAGAGAGTTGGGTAGTTTTCACGGTCTTGTGGTATATTACCGGATCTCGTTGAACCATGTAGTATACTTTCTATCGGCGTTCTTGAAGTATTGGCGGAGCTGTATACAGAGCAATTTACGTATCACAAAATTGAGAACTAGCAAATGAGAAACATCGCACGTTGTTTCACAAGGCATGCATCACGATGGCAAAGGCGACAAAGTCGTTGCATTGTCAAAGATTCAATTGATTCTTCATACGACATGTGGCGAACCTATTCAGCTCTCCCTATTTTCCCTTCTGTCGTGATATCGTATCGATCGAGTCGTGTTTCCTCATGGTGATGCGCTTATTTGGCCTCGTCAAAGACATAGGTCAAGTGACAACGACCACAGTACTGGCGGTTGTGCATGGCAGCCATGAAGACACCAGCGCCGCACTCGGGCTGAGGGCACTCGCGACGAAGGCGCTCGATCTTGCCATCGCCGTCAACCTTGTAGTACTTGAGAACAGCTAGCTTGGTCTTCTTGCGCTTGTGCTTAATCTTCTTGGGGGTGGTGTACACCTTCTTCTTGCGCTTCTTGGCTCCACCACGGAGGCGGAGGACCAAGTGGAGGGTCGACTCCTTCTGGATGTTGTAGTCCGAAAGGGTACGGCCATCCTCGAGCTGCTTGCCGGCGAAGATCAGGCGCTGCTGGTCCGGGGGAATGCCCTCCTTGTCTGCTAGGTATTAGATTATGCGCGTACTGAGATGCGCCGAAGAACATACCCTGGATCTTGGACTTCACATTGTCGATGGTGTCCGAGGACTCAACCTCGAGGGTGATCGTCTTACCCGTAAGGGTCTTGACGAAGATCTTGGGAGTTCGTCAGTATTGTGTTATAGAATGCGCTGGAACTCGCATACCTGCATGATGGCGACCGTAAACAAGTTGCCTTGTTATCCTTCAGTCGTCGATGCGAAGTTTGTTGGAGGAGAGGTCCGAAAAAATGGCCAACGTGGAAAATGAGTGTGGGCGGGGTTAGTAAGCGGGCACTAGCCGCTGCTAATCGGATCGCCACACTTGCGCTTGCACCGCCACCAACCACACGCTAGATCGGGGCCTCCAACGAGTCCCGTCCCTGCCACATCTCAGAACAGAACTTTGACCAACCATGGTTTCAGTTGTTTCATCCTTTCTTTCTCTCTCTCCCGTCCACATCTTCAGCCGCACGAGCTTGCCACTTTACGTTATCAATCTTGCGATGCCCGTTCGCGCTCTGCGCTCAAGCTGGGGAAGAAAATTGTTCTGGACGAGATATTCGTAGAGTATTATTGGCCTTGGTCAAATTGAGATATCTTTGTTAAAAGGGATCACCAAAAATTGACGATGGAACAGCCTCAGCTTATTGCGCCCCTTACTCGTGACATTCATAGATGCACCGATGCAGCATCAAAGCACGTCGCCTAGATACACAAGACTACACGATACGCTCAGACGCTAGTAGATCAACACTTGTACCGCGACAAGTCCAATGCGCCTCGCAACCACCGCTTTCTGGAGAAATGATCCAGTATCGAAACAACCGAGTAACACGGGTACAATTCTCGCGCAAGACCCAGGTTCCAAGATTGACATGTGGTGATGCAATACGTGGTGTGAGGTTAGCGTTGGCGCTTATCGGCCGCACGCGTTGCGCGGCAACGAGATCCCGGGTGCTCTGTTTATGCCGGCCCATATACATCGTCATCTGCGACTATCTTTACATTTAGATATTCCTCCCTCGCATCCCTCCCCACACTCTGTTGATACTTTTATACTTCCTCCTTGCGACTAGCAAACTTGAACAAAAACCTAACCACACGTACTATTGACACAGGCTTCGGCCAGAGACTTACTTGAGATAGGCTACTGGGAGACTGCATCTGTACTGAGGAGACCATAAGGACAACGACCGCCCGGCGGAGCGCCGCTTGCCTTGCGTGAGGTATGTTGTCGATACACTGGATGCATTTCACAATGTATTGAGCAAGAGGACGCAACATCTAACACATCACAGTATCGGACCATACAGGACTTCCCCCATCCTCGAAAATCACACCCGGACTCCACCTGCATACGATATGCTGTCCACAAATATGCCAACCGGCATTCAACGCCGACGAACCCAGCACCGACGACAACTTTCCACACCTGCTGCCTTCGACGCGCAACCAGTACGCCCACAACCTGCTAACTCACCACAACGACGACATAACCGATCCGGCATGAGCCTGGACCTTCGGGGTATGACCCTGAGTACCACTCATGCCGCGCAACACGGCCATTACCCGGATTACACCACACCAGGACCCATCGACACCCGATCCTTCCAGCAGGAGGATAGTACGGTAAGTATTACTAACCTAGGACAAACACCACAGCACTCTATGCAAGTAGCGCAACCGCACAGCCAGCCCCAGCCGGGCCCACAGGACGCCTTTTTGCGATCCCCAGTACAGACCTCTCTCCCATCACCGCGCACTCCCCACCAATCTCTTCGCGCGCAGTCTCCCCAACAGCCTCCTCATTCCCCATCTAAAGCTCCTACAGAACAGCAACTGAAAGAGCTCCGTGAGCATATACAATCAGTGTATGGCTCATGTGGGCAAGTCTTTATTAACATCCTTCCAACCCCAACTGCAACACCCCAGAAGCCGGGGCATTTGCAAGCCACGAGCCGCTTACTGCGATCACACAGCCGCCAAACTTCACTGATATGGGCGATCTCAATTTTGAGCCTACGTCAAGTGCCATGACCTTCGACTTCGAGAACCCAGAGGCCGACATGGGCTACGAGTCATCATCATATTACACCTCAGATGCACTATCACCATCACCAATCTCCTCGCCAACACGGGAAACAAGAAACACTTTCCTAGAAGGTATTGAGGAGCACAAGGAGATGAGTTTCTCGCAACCACCTACACTGTTACCTAGCCCACAGTCTTCAATGGCACTCACAGGTCTGCCGCTTGATATGGAATCGTATGAGCAGTCACCAATGTTCAACGATCTCGATGTTGACGCAAGCCTCGAGTACACTGGTATTGCCCCGGAAGAAGTCCAGCGATATATCAGTGAACAAGATCCTGTTACTAGTAAATGGACTTGTCTTTATCTTGACTGTGGTAAGGTTTTCGGCCGACGAGAAAACATTCGATCCCACGTCCAAACACATCTTGGAGACCGTCAATTTAAGTGCAACGGATGCGGCAAATGCTTCGTTCGCCAGCACGACTTGAAGCGACATGCAAAGATTCATTCTGGCAACAAGCCTTACAAATGCCCCTGCGGCGCCGGCTTTGCGAGACAAGATGCGCTCACCCGCCATCGACAGCGCGGTATGTGTGTCGGTGGCTTTGCTGATGCCGTCCGAAGACAAGCAAAACGTGGCAGGCCAAAGAAGAATCGACCAGACATGGAAGACCGCGTGGACAAAGCTACTCGCACACGAAGAGCTCTGGCATCCGCAGCGCCGTCATCAGCAGGTTCGCCATATTCTGAGGTCCGATCACCATCGCCACTTGACGGCTACAAGGCAGCTCAGTCGCACAACCTGCCTCAGATGATGGCTGATGCGCAGAGCTACAATGAGTCTATGAATGCCTCAAATGACCCATTCAGGTACGTTGATTATGTTCAAACACTGTCCGCTTTACTAACAGCTATGTAGCTTTGACACTTCATCAAGTCGTTGCGTAGAAGATACAGAAATCGCGCAGTCAAATTTCATGACAACATCTTCGTACGTGAGCGACGTTGCATCCATGAACATCCTCCAGCAACTCTCTCAGAGTTCACACACACCGCCTATGTCGCCTGCGGAGCTGCGTCCTCATTCATCTGGATCGACCAAGGAGGCGAATGCCCCAGCCGAATCAAGTCCATTAAAAGGGTCGTCGTCCCCATCTAGATCGTCAATACAGTCTAACCAATTCACGACACCTCCCACATCGCCAATGGAACCAAAAGACGACTTGAATGAGCTTTTTGACATCCTTCCGGACAATTCATATTCACAGTTTGATTTAGAGATGAAGGCCATGGGCGATTTCACCTCCCTTGACAATTCCTCATACGACCTTTTGGACTTCACCGTGTAGACGTAGGACTTGGAGATTGGCACGATAAGACGAGCACATGGATGGGACCATTGTATGATAATCACGTGCTATTTTCGGCGTAATGATTGGCGTCGGCTTCATCTCTGGTAGATAACGGACGCATCGCCTTTGACTTTGTTTGGCCCGGTACAGGTACCAAGTTTTTTCGACGAGACTAGACTTGACGAACAGAACAAGTTTCGCTTCTTGGGATGCAGACGTGGGATCACGCTCCTTTTTGGGATGTTGGTTTGATTCACGGCGTTTGTGGTGCATCAATTGGTTAGCGGTCATTGGCGACGCTTCTATGAAAGCGTGCTTCATATCGCGCACTCAGTAGAAATCCAAGTGGGTCAACGGTCCATCTTTATTTCCATACATTTACAATATGCTGTGATGTGCTGTCTGACCTCTGTGCACAGTCTTGGTTGGCCCGAGGGAAATTCAATGACCATCCTATGCTCGCGTGCAGACAGATGTGCGTCTTGTAGAGTCTTCCTGCTCCTACTGCCGTGTATGGGGGGGTCCTAGATATCGCGAAGGATGTATTGTTCCTATCCTTTCTAAGCTCCTCTCACCTACTAGCATCATGGAGAAGGTGCAAACGGATCCCCCTCTAGTCATGCTGAGCTCAGACCACATTTCCGTTTGCCTTTCACCAGGGCCCGGTGGCACACCTACAGGATCTCTTCTGACTCAACGGACTTATATTTTACATGAATCACTACTCGGCTGCGGCTGCTTTTGTTGCCTGGCTCTATCCTTCCTTTGTCCATCACATAGTCTCTATCTCGAACATCACACTCAATCATGGACAATGAAACGGCTACCAAGATCCAGCCTGTTAAACGTCACCTCGGCCACGCGCTCCTCGATGTGATCATCCGGCCTATTCTGCGCATATCTCCTCTCCAGATTTTCCAAAAATGCAAAGCGCTATTTGTTCTCATGTCTACGACCCAACGCATGCTAGCCATCACCATCTGGTCCAGAACAGGCGTCTATCATGTGGACAAACGGATAA